GTCAGAGGCTTAAGGACACCCAGAGCATGAGATTGTGTTCCTGACCATCTTGGCTAATAGCCATTGGTGCCCTTATCCTCCATGAGGATAAGCCACTTTCACCTGAGACAAGGAGCAAAGCAGTTGTAAATGTCACCAAGCTTTATTTGCAGAGGTTGGGAATAGAAGATGGGTAGTTAGGTAACTGTGTGTATTTTAATATGTGTATTACGGTGGTGCCTCAAGGCCCCGGTCAGGAGCGGGGCCTTGTGCTAGGCCCTGTACAAACGACTGCTTGATTGGATGTTAGATAACACAGCGGGGCCTGCAGCAACCAAGACCTGCTCTCAGTGGAGGACCTGGGAAAACTCCTATCTGTCTTCAGAGGTGCAGGATTGGTCCCCTAGAGACCAAGATTTTTCTTCTCCAATCAGGCCAAGGCAAAAGAAGGTTCTGCCATATCCCTGACTCCCAGAGTTGGAGATAGACCCTTGACCTCCCAATTCCCTGGGTAGTGCCTGGGCTCCTGCACTCATTCATTGACCTTGCCCCAAAATAAGGTGCTAGGGGATATGCTGCTTTGAAGTTGTTTCTCCTCTTCAGCTGCTCATTGGTCATGTCAGCATCCCTCCCTTCACCTGTCCCCCGGCCCATTCTCCCATCTCCTAACATGATCTGAACCTACCCCAAAGGTCGAATGAGGTGTAGAACCAAATCCTGCTGAAAGGCCCTCCTGCTTTTGCCTCTCCCTAAAGAGACCCCATTGTGCCAGCGTGTGGCACATCCCCCTGCATGTCTCATGCCCCTGTCTGGCACAGCTGTGACTGCAGGGCCATTGAGTCACGCCAGCTCCAGCTCCTAAGACGATCAATGGCTTTCATGAGCTTCTCTGGAGGACTGGACCCAGGGTGTGGTGATGTACAGGTGGCCAGCCAGCTGCGGGTACAGAACTGCAGTGGAGTTCAGTGGAAAGGGTGCTTGCCTGGGACTTGAGCCCTGGGTTCAGTTCACACTCCGCTACAGACTTTCTGTGGCACCATGGGCAAGTCATTTAGCCTCTCCGTGCCTCCGTTCCCATCGGGAAATCGAGAGAACTCTTCTCGGCCTCCCCAGGGGGCTGCCGGATAAAATCCATGAGAAGCTGAGAGGTGCTCAGATACTACAGTGAGAAGGGCCATATAAATAGATGGAAACGTGGCACTCTCCTCTCTTGCTGTTCCTTCTGTGGTGTTGCTGTGGCCGTCACCGTGGTGTCTGGTCGCTAATAGTAATCATGGCATTTATAGGGAGCTCTTACATTACATGCACTTTACAGACATTAACAAAGACATTCCCCCGGCAGCCCAGTGAGGTGGGCAAGAAACTCCCTGTATTTAGACAGCAAATGTTCTCTCTGCTCCTATGTATGGAACACCTTCCCTGGGGTGCTCGTATCCCTTCTGAACACCACCCCTTCAGCATTGCCCACAGGAAATCAGCCAGGCTCGGCGGAAAGAGGGGGTTGTACCTCTTTATGGACATAACTGCCTTTGCTTTTGTTTATTATTTTGTATCACTGTGTATTAAAAATGTATATATTGGATCGTCTCCCTCTCTAGTCTTCATAATCTGTTCGTCTTCTGGGATCATAAACTGGTTGGAGCAAAGACCATCTGTGTATGTTTATACAACACCTACTACACCAGGGCCCTGGTCAAGGCTACTCTAATATAAATACGAATACACTTTGCAGCTGAGGAAACTGCGGCAGGGGAAGTGACTTGTGCAAGGGAATTGGTTTGGGAGTTGGAATTAGAACTCAGGATTTCTTGATTTCCCAGTCGAGGGCTTAAGCCACTGGACCTCATCTCACTCTGCCCTCTGGGCCAGCTGTTATTTTTAGGAATAGTTACGTTTCCTGGCTTTATGCAAAAATCCCATCATACATGCTAGAATTGCTATCAGGTTTTGGTTTAAATACATTTATCTTTACATCTGGTCTACATTTCCTAGACACAGCTAATTTTAAAGGCACACTGACAAGGCCTCCCATTTCAAATCAGTATAAATCTCTAGTGCTTTACAAACATGAATTAACTTCCGCTCATTCTCTGTCACGGGCTGTATGTCGTAAGGGCAGTATCTGGTCCCCATGGAATAGGTTCCTGGTCCATGACTGGGGTGTCTATGAGCTACAATGATCCAAATAATTGAGGTGTTAACTTCAGCTCTGCTTCCCCCGCCCCTTGCTCAATGATTGTTTGTAAGGCAGAAGGGGGCCCTAGTGTTTTGGAGTGAACATCTCTGTCCTTTCTGCTCCCTGTTCTAGGCCCTGGTTCGGGACAGCACAATCAGTGCATCTTAAGCACATGCTTATGTGATGTCCTGAACAGCAAAGCTTTCCTGACTCTGACCCCTACATGCTAGTTTTGTGGGAAAGACCTTGCTGAATATGGGGTTTTCCCCCCTCTGCCTAGTCACTCTCTGAGTTCACAGCCCTCTGAAGTAGGCAAACATCCATTTCTTTTACCAGTGGGGAAACTGAGTCATGGAATGATTTGACTAAAGTCACACTGGAGATCTGGGGCAATGGTGGAAATAGAATGTGAGTCCCTTGACTCCTCAGGCTTGTGCCCCAACCACAAGACTTTCCTCCTTTCTGAAAGTTGCAGTGTGTTAGCAAACTACTGCTGGTTATACCCAAACCCAGTCCCTCCAACTCTGCGGAACTAACATTAAAAACACCGTAGCCATGGCTTGCCATAGGTCCTCCACACAAACACATCTCTGCATATGTTGTAGAGTGCACACATGCAGGACGCTTTGCCTGGGAGACGTTCAGTGAAAGCAGAACTGGTTTTGTGACCCCCTTCCTGTAATGTTGGTTACTCTGTCACTGTGGAAAGATGAAGTTTTCTCGTGAAGTTCTCTGCCCAGTGGCCTTCTCCATGAGTGCACCACGTTCACATTCCCATCTCCCCTGGATAGCTGTCTTTTGCCAGAACACATTTATTTTGAGCTGTTGGGAGCTAGTGAGTATTTTCACACAGCTGCAGAATGTGTCTCAGATGAGATGTAAAAACCAAGGGCCTGTTCACTTGTGGTTATTAAAGCTCCTACAGCCATTTTCACATGAGTAGGAGTGTCAGCCCCAGCTTCTTGGCCAACTTGGAGTATTGCATTCTGCCTACCTTCCATTTCTAGTGGATATGGGACTTTTTTCGTCACTTCCTGGTCTACCCTATGGTGTAGCATTGCTGTGCTGGGTTAAATAGCTGTTATTTCACCCCAGAGCTGGCTGCATTTCATTGCTGAGTGAAGCGTCACGTGCAAAAAATAGTAATGAAAAGCGCACTGTGTAAACACAAGATGGAATTATTAGCTGCGTGTATAAAGATAACTGAACGGAGACTGATGTTCATAGCTGCCTTAATGCTTTCGCTCCAGTGTTCTTATTAGAATCTGAATACTGGGTTAAATTCTGTACTACTTTATATCCTGTACAACTCGTGGCCTGAGCAGTCTTTGCAGCTTGTACTTTTCAGTCTCTCTGTTCTCTCCGTAATCACCCCCAAGTCATTTTCTGTCAGGTTAGACAGCTTTGTATCAACGCAGATAGTGACAGTGCCCTTTATGTACTGAGGGCTTGTATATACAGGAAAGCTAGTGTGGTATAAGGTAAGGTGTGAATTTAAATCATGTAGTTATACCGGTGTGTAGAAAATCTTCTTTGGATATAAAAGTGTCTTTTTTCAATCTGGCTTAGGTTGCATGAGTAAAAGTTTAGGCTAAACCAAAAAAAGGCACTCTCATAGCAGAATAAGAGTGTCTACACTGAAGGTTATACCGGTATAGCTGTGCCATGCAGAGCCGGGCTAAGGCAGTGACTTCCAAGGCTCTGCTGGGCACTGATGCATTGCATACAGTGTGTAGAGTATGTTTTTGGGGAGGAAGAATGATCTTGTGGTTAAGGAACAGGTCTGGGTTTTGCCACATGATGGTGGGCAAATCACTTCCCTTCTCCCTGCCTCAGTTTCCCCTTCTGTAAAATGGGGATGACAGTTCCCTACAGGGACGTTGCAAGGTTTAGTTTGTTAATGTTTGTAAAGTACTATAGCGAGCCCACAGCAGGGCAGGACAGGGGACACAATCCTCTGCAGAGTAATGTCCAAAGCCTGCCTGTCTGTCTGTCTGGAGGTTTTAAAGAACTAAATCTTTCCAGGCCGCAGTCTGTTGGGTGAATAATCGCCTGCTTGTGCAGCATATTCCTCTTGAATGTGGCTATATTTCTGCCTAGTACAGAGCCAGCCCAATCTTCAGCTTCTGAACTTCCAGAGGGAAAAATCTCATTCACACCTATTTGTATTCAACTCTGAATACAAAGCGCAGCCCCAGTATAGACCCCAACAGTCCCTCCCCTCACAGGGCACATGGACATTTGAAGTGTGGCTTGGTGGAGCATATTCTACTCAGCAGACTCTGGTTACAGGTGAGTGTCTTCCCTTTCCAGCCGTACACTGAGCTGGATAAACCTGTATAGCCTACCAGTGGTCTGAGATGGTGACTTGTCTAGATCCCAGTTACGTGGAGAGGCCTGCGGCAGGTAATGCAATCTGCCATTCCAGTCTGCTTTCCACCCTGCGGGAAGCTCTCCATGGAGTTACAGCCTGTACTGTCCCACTGGCTTCCTTTGCCCATAGTTGTAAGTAAGAGTGAGCACAGATGGCCATAGTGATCGGTGGGGAGGGGGGATGAATGGAGCAATGGCATCGGCTGATCAGTGGCTTCGCTCACCTGCTCTAATACACTCTCTCCCAGTGAGTAACTGATGATCTTGGCTGGTGAAATGTGACTGATGAAGTGTTTTACTTATTATACATGATTCTGTCTGTTAGCTTTACATCTATGTAGGGTTTAGGAATCCCTCTCCTAGGAGCGTCCACATCTTGGTGGGTGCGTTGAGTGCCCTGTTAATTCTGTAATGATTGATTTGCTGTTCACTGTTTGTGAAGGATCTAAGTGGGTCAATGCAGGTAGTAACAATGACTTGTCTGGCTATTGTTTCTCAGTCGGAGGATCTTGGTGCCTGTGCCCAGTTTGAGAGCAGCAGACAGAACAGAAATATGATGCCTAGTGCCAGCTGTGTCTTCCCTACCTTCACCCTACGAAAGCCCTCCTCGGAGACGGACATTGAGAACTGGGCCTCCAAGCACTTCAACAAGCACACCCAAGGGCTCTTCCGGAGGAAGGTCTCCATTGCCAACATGCTGGCCTGGAGCAGCGAGTCCATCAAGAAGCCCATGATCATGACCACCGACCGCAACGTCAAGAAGGAAGCCTGTGAGATATTTAAACTGATTCAGATGTACATGGGGGACCGGCGGGCCAAGGCGGATCAACTCAACGTGGCTTTGGAGATCGCCACCAAAGGCTGGAGCATGCAGGGTCTGAGGGACGAGCTGTACATCCAGCTTTGCCGGCAGACCACTGAGAACTTCCGTTATGAGAGTCTGGCACGGGGCTGGGAGCTAATGGCTATTTGCCTGGCCTTCTTCCCACCCACTCCCAAATTCCATTCCTACCTAGAAGGATATATTTACCGGCACATGGATCCGGTGAATGACACCAAAGGTAAGAGAGAGACCGCTGTTGGTTGGTGTTGTCCCTAAAGAACTTGCAACCCTTTTTCCTTTTGTACTGTGCATTGTGTCCTCCCTGTGAGACGAGTGCAGCACTTGTAAATAACCAGCCAGCCAGAGGAGCTTAGTGAAAGCATCCATAGGCTTTAGCACTGGCCTTTCATCCCTGGGACACTGTGAAATCCAGCATGAAATGAGCTCAATAGCTTCAAATGACAACTAATGGTTTCACCAAGCACCAGCTGGGCTCTTTTACACATGCACACATGCCACATGCACACCCGTGTAACATACAGATCTTTGGGTCGCTATTCATCTCTGCTCAGGGCCCACACAGTCCTGTGCTGGTCCTCAGCGTGTATTTGTTCTAAGGAGAAATGTAAGTAGCCAGACCTGCATTTTGCTTCTCTCTAGTGATGAACATTTCCTAGATTGCTGCTGTGTGAGTTTTACGGCTGTACATGTCCTGTAGATTCGCTAACGCTGGCACGGCACTCTGTCAGTAGAGAGTAGCCGGGGTATCTGGATGGCCCACTTGATTATGGCAAGAAAAATGACTGTGTGAAAAAAAGGCTCCTCTGCACATTCGGAGTCAGATCTGCTGACTTCGGTAACAACATTCATTTTTTACTCCTGTTAGCCCTGCAGAGACAACCCAGCTGTGGGAAAGGGAGCTGGCTTCTCTCCTGGCTTCTGCATCATCATCAGAATGATTAACTCGGTTCCAATAGCAGAATCTTCTTCTCAGTGATGATACAGAAGCTGGAGAGCAGCACCCAGCTTGACTCAGACGTGAGGGGCAGGCTGTGGAGCGGGCAGCTGGAAACTCCAGTTTCTCATAAATTTAGTACGTTTCATCTGGAGTCCGTGAAAGATCTCACAAGGCCATTTTTAAAGGTCCCTTTTCAGAGCTGAACTGCACTTCAAAAGTGACAACTTCCTGTACTCCCCCTCTGCTGAGCAAGTTGCTAGCTAGACACGCAAGCTTCACAATGCTAATCTCACTTTGGTTAGCACAGCATTAAACCTGAATCTACATGCTGCTTGCTCAGGTTTGAAGCCATCAAAGCTATTAGGCCATTGACTTCGCTGGGAGCAGGATTCAGGCCCTAAATGAGAATGATGCAGTGGGATTGGCAGCATTTTGTTCTGGTAGCCCAGTGGGTGTGCACAAGCGTAGTCTGAGCCTGCTTTTTCGTGGGAGCAAATCCTTACAGTGCTCTTGAACTGATCAGTTTGCAGGGATGGGACAGTGTGAAGGCTTCCATGTGCTCTTCGCAGGAGCGAGGGAAAAGCTTGCACCACCCAATCTCATTTTGTGCAGTGTCTGTCATGCCAACTGTCTCCCAAAGTGCACATGCTTCGCGATGGGAAATACACCAAGCCAGCTCCTCCGGCTCCTCCTTGCTTTGCACTGCCTCTCTGCTGCGCCATTGCTGTAAACGTGCTTTAGGGAAGTCTGGGGAGGATCACCCAGGTGTAGGGGCTCCCAGCGGCTTACAGCCTCGCCGGGAAAAGGGCATGACTAGAGAAAAGAGAGCACGGTTGGGGCACATTGATCCTGGGCTGCATTTTCAGCGCCCTGTGACCCCTGTGTAAGTTAGCAGCCTGGATATTGCTCTGTCTCTCAGTGCGGGGGGGGCACAGCCATGCACAAAGCAATGCCAGGATCAGGGGAGTGCGAAGGAGAGCATTTCACACCCCACCCCCTGACCTGGAGAGCCAGATGCAGGAGGCAGAAGAGAGGGTTTCAGGTGAGGGTTGAACACAGAAAGGACAGTGATAAGATACAGGAGAAGGCTCACAGACCAGGGCTAGCCAGGGCGCTGGGAGAAATCAGAGAAATGTTGCCACTAGATGAGCTAAGACGAGGCTGACACTCATGGAAGGTTTGTAAACGTCCCTAGATAGGCAGAGGGCATTTTGTACTGGATCCGGAAGTGAGTGGGGAGCAGCAGAGGCAAAAAACTGAACTGGCTTCAAGACTGAGCTTGATAAGCTTATGGAGGGGATGGTCTGACGGGACTGCCTGCGATGGCGTGTGGCCCATCGGCAACTGCCAGGAGCAAAAATCCCCAAGGGCTGGAGCCGGGACACTAGATGGGGAGGGCTCTGAGTTACTACACAGAATTCTTTCCCAGGTGTCTGGCTGGCTGGTCTCGCCCACTTGCTCAGAGTCTAACTAATCGCCATATTTGGGGTCAGGAAGGAATTTTCCCCTGGGTCAGATTGGCAGAGACCCTGCAGGGGTTTTCACCTTCTTCTGCAGCGTGGGGCACAGGTCACTTGCAGGTTTAAACTAGTGTAAATGGTGGATTCTCTGTAACTTGAAGTCTTCAAACCACGATTTGAGGACGTCAGTAGCTCAGCTAGAGGTTAGGGGTCTATTCCAGGAGCGGGGGGAGGAGGGGGAGGGTCTGTGGCTGCAATGTGCCAGTGGTCAGAGTAGATGATCATGCTGGTCCCTTCTGACGTTAAAGCCTATGAGTCTGTGACCGGAAGGGAGATAAGAATGGGCTTCTCTTGTCTACACAGCAACTAGACATCTGCAGCCAGGCCGTGGCAGCTGACAAAAGCTTAGGCTGCAGGGCAGTTTCACTATCTGGAGCCTGGGCTCTAGGACCCAGTGGGGGGGGCGGGAGGGGTCCCAGAGCTTGGGCTCTAGCCTGAGTCCAGAAGTTTACACAGCCATGAAACAGCCCTGCCGCCTGTGCCGAATCAGCTGGCACGGGCCAGCCGTGGGTTTTTCTTTGCTGTGTAGACGTGCCCTCTGTGCCGGTGAGCTGCATTCTGCGCGGGCTGGCGTTCAGGCCATCGAGAGGGCGAGGAGGAAGTTAGACGGACCTCAGCACATCCCATCTTTCTCTCCAGGCTCTGCTGGTGAGTTGGAAAGAGAAGCAGCTGCCTCTTTAAAAGCTGCCCCTCTGCAAGTTCTATTTCAGCTCTGACCCATTAAGTGTCATTTCCCTATAAATGTCATCTGCAATATGGCAATCCCTGAATCATCTGCTTTCCACCTCCTTGCTGTCCGGCGCTGCAGTTAAAGCTGGTAATTGGTGACTCTAGACACTATTAACGTAAGGCTTTTATTTTCAATCATGAAGCAGTAAACCATATATTAACTCCTGACCGGGGCAAGCCGCAGCTAAAGCTCTCTACCTGACGACCATTCAGGAGAAAATTATTTTTTTAACGAGGTGTGAAAATGCATTAAACTGTTTCCTTTACCTTATAATAAGTCACCAGGAGTCCCTGAGCTGACAACGCTACAAAATCAGAGAGAGAACAAAGATGCCGACACCTTTCCTGGCAGGCTGGAGCTGCAGACAGTCATTAAAATAAGCCACACAGTTGGCTGTGAAGTTTCCTTTATTTCTTGACCCAAGTTTCCCCTGCTGTGTAGTCAGCAGCTTCTCAGGCGACATCCCAGCCTCAGGAGTGAAGAACGCTCTCTGTCCCTTCAGCTCCCATCCAGTACGTGCGCTGCCCCCGGGGACAAACCTTGCTCTGCTTGGCCTCTTGAACAAATGCCTTCAATCTAGTTTCATCAACAGCATAATGTGCTGTTTGGTTGATTCTCTTCATTACAGTTCTGCATTGGAGCCTACTGCCTGGTGTAACCCCTGCTGGCAATTCAAACCAAGGCTGGGGAGCACCCCTCTCTTTTCCCTGCACACTCGCACTTAGGCTCATCTTGTCAGTGGCTGCTTACGGGTTTAGTCTTGCAGAACACAGATATCAACACACCTGTATACAAGTGTGTTAATTATACATAGCCCGGTTCCTCCTCCTCCATGGCCTTCCCAAGTCACCGCTGTCCAGGCGCCTCCTTCATCTCCTGATCTGCTTCAAAATCCCCCCTCCCCCACTTTTTTAAAAAAGGCTCGATTTAGGGTAACTGCAGTAATCCACTCTGCTGGCAGCTCCCTGCTAGGACCCTGGCAGCCTCACAGACTCCCAGGCTCCTGGCATGCTGCCCCACAGGCTCCCGGGCTGGGAGCAGGGTCCAGCCGCCCAGCCTTCTTGCCCTGACTCCCAGCCAGGAGCGGGGTCCAACCGCCCAGCTCTCCAGGGAGTGGGGGGCAGCTGTCCTCTTGCTTCCCAGCTTTCTTGTCAGTTTCATGATTCCTGCCATTGCCAGGACAGCCAGCAGTCGATGTAAGGAACACAGTGCGTATAGGGACACTGCGTCACCCTAACCACACCCACACAAGCCCTACGCCTCTCATGGAGGTGGAGTTATGTCGAGGTAGTGGGACACTTACATCAGCAGGAGCAAGGCTGTAGTGACATAGATCGATGTCAGCTGCCTTATAGTGTAGATCAGGCCTCAATCCAAGCAACGTTACCATCTTAGTGTGTCTCTTCCTTCCAAATCCCGCTCCGTCCCTGCTCAAAATCTAGTCACCTATTGTGCAAGCGCCTTCTCCTGTGTGTCTCCTGCTGCCTAGAACAGCCTTTCTGTATGTCTCCATCCATTTCAAATCATAGCTGAAAACCTCTTTTGTCCTTGTCTCTCCCTCTTAGCTTCTCTCTGCCTTAAATTATGTACAGCAAGACCCCTTAAATCAAGTTGGAACATCACAACATGGGTCTTGTGTTCTCCAAAGGCTGCATATGTGAATTAAAGCTCTAGTGAATCTATCTGATCTACTGGCTTGTCTGGTCCCCATCACCATAAACAATATCTGAGCATCGCCCCCACATACTTAAAAGTAGATACAGCAATAACCATTTCTCCCTTCTCAGCCTGTGGGAGAACTAGCTGGATTAATAGTGTAGCATTTGTGGGGGAGTGTGTGTGTTGTGTATGCTGTGGGGAAACAGAACAGGGGGGTCTTCTTTCCGATAACCAAAGTTCTGGGCCTACAGGCCCCAAAACACATCCAACAGAAGACTGTCATGATGGTGACCTTTGTGCAGAATAGAGAAGGCCTGAAAGCCTGAACAGTACTGCACAATTCAATTCTCTGCCAAACCCCAGGCAAAAGT